AATGAAATTTTCTCAGTGTTATCGATGTCTCTGAGGCTACTATAAATACTTTATTAAGAGACTAAGATATTTTCAGGTAACCTTGATTGTTGGATTTCCCAAGTTTGTTATCAGTGTAGGAGAGATATTGAGGTACAATCTCTGTGATAAGAAGCAATTAACATTTATGGCCTTTTCTCTACGTTCTTAAACATAAATTTAAGATTAATATTTATCTTATACAAGGTAATGTTTTGATGTTTTCTGTTTTTATAAGGTTAAGAAATCGGAATTTCACTTAGAAAAGGCAAAGGTCATTTGCCTTCAAAACAATAGCATTCCTGACTCACCCGATCCTCAACTTTAGTTTTTTCTTTGATTCAAATGTTACTTACAGCATGCATTGTAATCTCAGGGGGAAACAAATCTTGCTTAGTCCAATGAGTTTATTCCTAGCCAAGTATATTTGGGATTTCATCCTTAGACAAGCCATCTTTGGCCTTATGTTTGCCTTCATACCCGTGTAACTGGTCTCTCCACACATCATCCTTAGTGAAGCGTGCAAACCAGCGTTTGCATTTCCTGTGTCGGATGAGGAGAGCACATCTTTCTCCTTCTGTACTGGCCACTTTTTACAGAGGCACGATTGAGAGCATTTTAACAAACTGCATCACTGTCTGGTTTGGTGGCAGCAATGCCTCAGATAGAAAGTCCATACAGAGATTGGGAAGGTCAGCCGAGAAGATCATAGGAAGCTCACTCCCTGGTATTCAGGATACTGCTTATAAGCGCTATGTGCTTAGAGCTCAAAGCATTGTTAGAGACTCCACACACCCACTTTGCGGTCTGTTTCTGTTGCTCCCCTCTGAGAGGAGGTTTTGAAGTATTTCTAGCAGGACTACCCGATTCTGTAATAGTTTTGTTTCCTATGCCATCCGTCTGGTAAATTCCCAAGGTTCGTTTTTCTCACCATGCACATGTATGCATACTCCGAACTATACTGTATTGTTTCTCTGTGTCATATAATATATGTGGGTATATGCATAATTCTATTTATTTATTTATTTATTTATTTATTTATTTATTTATTTATTTATTTTTGTCATATTTATGTAGTGTATATTGGAGGTGGTGATTCTTTGAGAGCTGTATGCAACAAAATTTCATTTTAATGTATGCCGATTAGTGTACATTCAAAGTGACAATAAAGATTTCTATTCTATTCTATTTATTCTATTCTATTCCTCTATTCTATTCCATTCCATTCCTTATGAAAAGGGATTATGATTACACTGCATATGTTAGCTAGGCTTCCTATGTGTTGCTATGTGCAGGTTCTGCTCTGTATCTCATATTCAACTGAATATAATTAAAGTTCCATTTTACATATTATTCCTGATAAGATTTAAGATTTGTGGTAGAAGGATTAGTTTATTTATTTATCAAATTTAGATAGTGTCCCTATCTCACTATGCAAGGGACTGGGCGATTTACAGATATAAACGATAAGTTCTAGTCTGCCTTAGGTATGAACGCCAGCTGGTGACTCTGGGCCGTCACTCTCTCTCAGCCTAACCCACCTCACAGGCCTGTTGTGGGGAAAATAGGAGGGGGAAGGAGTATTGTGTGTGTTTGTCACCTTGAGTTATTTATAAAAATAATGAGGGATATAAATAAATAAACAGGGCTAAAATACTAACTTGGCAAAACATGGTCACATACAGGAATGGAACAGCTTTAACTTGAAGGAGATTTTGTGAGTTTTTTTATATTAAGTAGCCAGAGGTTCCAGAGTGCAAGTCATTCATAGTTATCACTACAGAGACTGGAAAGAGATAGAAGCATTCAATTGCAGTGTATTTAAGGCTAACCTGGTAAAATGGCATGTAAGTAATACATGAAAGTGTTCATTTCAGGTTTCCATGTACCTGATTGTTTTAGACATCTTCACATATGTTTATGTTTGAAAGGTGGTGATAAATTGATAGGTAATTTAGAGATCATCTACTTTACCCGCTGCTTGGTACAGGATCTACTGCAGCAACTCTGACAGGTGACCATCCTGCCATTTTGAGATGATCTGTATCAAAAAAGAACTCACTATTTCATGTGGCTCCCAAGTGTATCTCCTGGATGGAAACTGATCGGGATGGAAGCTAATTAAAGACAGAAGCAGTCTAGAACTAAGGAGAAATTTCCTGACAGTTAGAACAATTCATCAGTGGAATAACTTACCTCCAGAAGTTATGAATGCTCCAACACTGGAAGTTTTTGAGAAGAGACTGGACAGCCATTTGTCTGGAATGGTACAGGGTTTCCTGCCTGAGCAGGGGGTTGGACTAGGTCTCTTCCAACGTTATTCTGTTATTCCTCTTCAAAATTTTTGCAACTTAGTTTTTCTCAAATTAGTCTCTTTCTTAGCCTGATCCACTATCCATTGTACCTTGATATAGAATCAGATCAGAAATTCTTATTTGTGGTGTTCCTAAATATTGTCAGCATTACTGTAAAATTCTGAAACTCTTTCATATCATTCATGCTGTTAGCCTAATGTCTGTGGTGGCCATCCTGTGTGACTATTTAGATAGAAAGGGCTGGAATTCTTCCTAGACTTTCAGATGAACAACAAGGAGTGATGAACTGTCTGATTGTTTCTGATGAGATTACAGAGGCAATTAAACAATTAAAGGTTGGAAAGGCTCCTGGTACAGATGGGTTAACAGCAATATATTATAAAATGTTATCTGAAGAAATGATAGAACCTTTGAGACATCTTTTTAATGGTATTCTGTCCGGAGCACAGGTGCCTCCATCGTGGAGACGTGCATTTATATCACTTATACCTAAGGAGGATCAGGACTTGACTCAGCCTAAAAATTATAGACCAATATCTTTATTGAATACAGATTATAAGATTTTTTCAAAAATTCTAGCTAACAGACTAATGCAAGTTTTGAAGCAGATAATTCACGCTGATCAGTCTGGATTTATAACTGGTAGATATATGAAGTATAATGTTAGACAAATTGTGGACTTGGTTGAATATTTGGACAAAAATAATCAAATTCCAGCGGCTTTTATCTTTTTGGACGCTGAAAAGGCATTTGACAAATTGGACTGGCAATTTTTATTGCGAGTTGTGGAGAGAATGAACTTTGGAGATAGATTTTTGCTTGCTTTGAAAGCTATTTATCAACAACAATCAGCACAAATTGTGGTTAATGGGGGATTGACAGATATATTTAAAATTGAGAAAGGTACAAGGCAAGGATGTCCACTATCACCATTATTATTTGTTTTGACAATGGAGATTTTATTGATTAAAATTCGTGAGTCATCGGTTATAAAAGGAATAAAATTAAATAAGAAGGATTATAGGTTGAGAGCTTTTGCTGACGATTTGGTTTTTACCTTATCTCAACCGATTGAATCAGTAAGAGAGTTGATGCAGATTTTGATTCAGTATGGGAAAGTTTCTGGATTTAAAGTAAATAATAACAAGACTAAAATACTAGCTAAAAAT